AGCGGATTCGATATTTGGATTTAAAGTCTCTCTTGCTATGTAATGTTCAGGTGACATACATGCACATACAGTTGAAGTCAGAATTATTAGCCCTTCTGAACTTTTAGCCTTTTTGTATATTTATTTTCACCAACTGACTGTAATTATTGCTTTTGTTCTCCTCTGAAAGTGTTTTTACCTCTCGATCCCAACTGTTGCACTTTATTTTAGTACTGCTCCATTTCAGCTCGACTTCTAAGGTCATTGACCTTTTGATGGTCACAGTGTGTACACTGACCTCTTTTGAGCGCCAGACCTGACCCTGTGAGATTCATCTCGGTGGCTGACACGTGTCTGGTCAACACGGTGCATCCCTTGCCATCTTGACCTACAGCTCCTGGAGTCCTTCCCCAAGGCGATTTGCATTCTCAGAGTCAAGTCACGCATTGGGAGGATTTCCCAAAATGCATTTTTTATATTATGTGACTCTTCGGTCTAGGGCTGCACAAATTATATTGCTTCAGCATCGATATTGCAATGTGATCATTCGCAATAGACACATTGCAGGATTTGCGATGTGGAGTCAGTTTTGTAATATGTAATTTGTATGTGTTTTTGGGGCCTGTGTAAGATTGGTAACTTTAATAATGATTTGTTTAATGAATTTTTACATTTTGTATTATTTAATTATTCAATATGGAAATAATAAAAACTTTCTCTTTACTCTTTTTTTTTATATTTCATTTTTCATTTTTAAAAGAAGCTATTCCCCAACAAGTAAACATCTTTCAGATGAGAAAAAAATCTAAATAAATAAAACACAAATAAATAAATAAATAATCAAAATAAACATAACATAAATACATGAAATAAACAATATATCAAAATAAATAAATAAATAGTTACTTTTTACAGAACTTAATATAACTTCTTTTCTTTACATTTGTACATGAACTTACATTGTAGTTGCATCAAATTACATTAACAAATAAAATTTTCCCCATTGTATTTATTTATGCTTTTTAGTTTGTTTATTCGATTTTATGCTGATGCATTCTCACACATGAAATTCCAATCCAAATCATGTGATAAAATTATTTAAATTGCAATATCTAACACAGAATAACAAAATAACGCAATGCTGTATTTTTCCGATCCAATTTTAAATTATTTAATTACTGTACCTGAAGACTGATAATGCAGGGAACAATAAAACACCATAAATTTTCAAATTTTTATTTATGATTTTTCTTTTTTACTTTTCTTTTCTTTTTTTTTTTATTTCTTTTTTTTTTTTTTTGCATAATAAGCCCTTACCCAACAATTTAACCTCTTTTCAATAAGGGAATTGGAAGCAAAAAAATAAAAATAAATAAATAAATAAATAAATAACAATATATTAAAGTAAATAAATCAATAAATTTTATAGCAAAATAAATAAATAAATAAATAAATAAATAAATAAATAAATGATTTACTTAAAATTGTTACTGCTAATATAATTTCTTTTTAAGTGATACATTTGTAAATGAAGTTACATTGTGTTACATTGTAGTAGCATCATATTATATTAACAATGGGTTAAAGTTAGGTTTTTTTTATTTTATTTTAAATTTTAAATAGATTTATTTTTATTTTTTTTGCATAATAATTCAATCCCCAACAATATAATCGCTTACAGATAAGGGAATTAACAAATAAATAAATGAATAAATAAATAAATAAATAAATAAATAAATAAACAATATATAAAAATAAATAATATGTAAATAAATAAATAAAAATAAATAAGTAACATAGAAATAAATAGTATAGTAAATAAAAAATAAATACAACATCAAAATAAATAAATAAAACATCAAAATAAATAAACAAACAAATGAATGAATGAATGAATGAATGAATGAATGAATGAATGAATGAATGAATGAATGAATGAATGAATGAATGAATGAATGAATAGTTACTGGCATCATTATTTCTTTTCTTTACATTTGTACATCAAGTTACATTGTAGTTGCATCAAATTACATTAATGATAGGTTAAGTAACTTTTTCTTTATTGTATTCATCTATGCTTTTTAATTCGATTTATGCAGATGCACTCCCACACAGAATCATCCTAATCTATCTAAGATGATCAATTACAATTTCCAGATAGAGATATTCAAGTCATCTGGTAAAATAGTATTCATATCGCAATATAAATTGCAGAATAACAACAAAGTTGCAAACCTAGATTTTTCCAATAGCGCTCTGCCCTACTTCGGTCCATTTCTGCTAAAACACCTTTTAACACTCTTCAGTAAAGTCAAGCACTTGTGGGTAAAAGAGAGAGGCGTACACTGTCAAACCACGGAGATAAACCTAGCAAACATGCTTAATTATCCAGCGCAACGGCTGTGTTCAAAGTGCACATCCGGGGGAGTTTAGGGAGGGAATGAATAAATCTAGCTCCGGTGTCGTACAGAAGTAACAAGTATTGATGAGCTATTCAGAGTGTATTTCCCAAAGGACGGGTAATTGCGGCCCCGTGTGCTCTTGTACTTGAGAAACTGCACAGGCTAAAATGAGCTCCTCAGGTGACGTCACATGCTGATGAATGTTCATGTCTTCTCTGATCCCGAGTCCATGTTTGTAAAAGTCAGCCTAATACAATCTTGGAGATTGGTCGGAGGGTAAGTGGGAGAGTAATTTGAAGATATACACCAGTGAAAAGCAGCTCGCTGGAGGGAAGATGCACCCATCAGCCGTCCACACTCAAATTTTGTTGTGTTGTTGGTGCTCGTTCAAACTACTCATTTAAAATGAGCTAAAACAACACAATTTTTGAGATTTTGTTGGCACAACTTATTTTTTTAAGTTCAATACACTTAAATCATACTGAACTGAGCTAAACTGAACTGAACTTAAACACTAAAAACTGAACTACACTGTACCAGTTACTATGACCATTTATGTGATGCTGCTTTGACACAATCTACATTGTAAAAGCGCTATACAAATAAAGCTGAATTGAATTGAATTAAATTAGGTAACTCTGTATATTTAACTTAATCAATTTGTGTTGGGACAATATCAGGGCTTTATTTGTGCCGGAACAAATCTGAAATCTGATCCACCACCTCATTTTACCTATACCCCTCCTCACACGCACTTCACTTTCTTCCACAACTTCCCAAGCATCTTCACTTTGTCCGCGACACATCCAACACCATCCCCACATCACCCCAACCGCAACCACTCTACACTTTTGTCTGCAACACTAACCCCCTCTTCACTTTTGTCCGTGACCAACCACCCCCTCCCCGCTCTTCACTATGTTACGTCCACAACACCGCTCCCTCCTCTGGTAACATGCCAGATCCGTAGCCCCAATCTGTTCTCGGAACCTTGCAATTTACAAATTTAGCACTGGACAATATGAAAGAATTGTGTGTAACCCTGACAATTCCTTCATGTTGTCCCAGCTCAAATCTATTAAGTTAACGTATTTGTTTTAACAAATTTAAGTAGATGGAACAAAAAAAAAATTGCAACCCAGGCCCATTGCAGATACATACCCAGGTCTACATTTTTTGGGGGGCAGAGAATAACGTAACTGGAGGTACGTCGGCTTGCAGTTTTTTTTTTTGCAAATCCATCAGACCGCTGTTTACGCTTTTTGATGATCTCAAATTTCTCTTGCACGTCCTCTCCTTGCATTAATCCACCAGAGGGCGCAATATACGTTTTCCGCTGACCAGACTAGCTTGCTGTCAACTGACTGACTGACCAACTGAACCACCAACTCCCTTCCCTAAACCCAACCGATGGTGTTTTCAAAAGCAATCTAGAAAAAGAAAAGCCATCGTGACTGCGTGATTTCATCACATCGTTTTTAGCCTTTTGTTTATTCATTTTATTAAAAAAATTTTGCTTTTGTTTTACCTGGTTTTTGAAATCATTCTTCATTAGATTCGAACCCTGTCATCTCGGTCAACTCCGCTCCGTGTCCCAAGTCCGCTGACATATGCGGTGAGTCACTGGGCACTCTGGTAACACCAGAAAAGTATGGAGATGTATGGAGGTAAATGGTCCAGCTGGTAGTGCAAAAAGGAGTAGAACCTGTCGGTTAAGTCATACTGCCCCATAGCATTTGTTTTAAAGGCTAAACGGAAATGCAGCCGTACGTACCTCTGGCTATATATTTTGTGCTCTCCAGAAATGTAGAGAAAGGGTACTTATCTAAAATGGGCCTTTGTTGAACAAAGTAGTTCTCACAAAAAACCTTAAGAATTGTGTTGTTTCAACTAATTTTATATAAGTTTTGCAAGCAACAAGCAACAAAAGTCTGTTTTTTTATTTATTTTTTATTTTTGTGTAAGCACTTTGCTTAAGCACCTCGCTTTCATTTTCATACTTTAAAATAGAGCGGCGCAATAATCCACAATAATCACATCACAGAATCTGAAATGTCGAGTCAGAATTATAGTTAATGTTTTATAGTTATAGTATAAAATAAATATAAATATAAAATATAATACTATATATTACAGTCATAAAACAGTTGTGGAATCATTTCAGTTTAACCCTAAAGTGAATGTTTTTTATCTGTATGTGTTTTTTAGCATTTTCAAAGTAAAGTTTAAAGCATTTAAGCACACACTTTATTAAACATGTACACAGGCAACATGGTAGCTCAGTGGTTAGCACTTACAGCATGAAGGTCACTAGTTTGAGTCCCGGATGGGTCAGTTGGCATTTCTGTGTGGAGTTTGCATGTTCTCCTCATGTTGGCGTGGGTTTCCTCTGGGTGCTCCGGTTTCCCCCACAGTCCAAAGACATGCACTGTACGTGAATAGAATAAGCTTAATTGGCTGTAGTCTATGAGTGTGTGTGTGAAAGAGTGTGCATGGATGTTTACAAATACTGGGTTGCAGCTGGAAGGGCATCCACTGCATAAAACATTTGCCAGAATAGTTGGCGGTTCATTCCGCTGTGGCGACATCTGAAATAGAGACAAAGCCGAAGGAGAATGAATGATTATTTTATTTTGGTACCTGGATACTCCTCCGCTGTATTTATCTATATTAGCATTTTAGGTTTTACATTTGTAAGGAGATACAAAACCCTCCCAATCAATCTAAGGCTATTAATTCCATATAGAGCTGTTATGGTTGAAATATTGATGGAATATGGCTATAAAATAGCAGAAAATCTAAATATCGCTATGTAAGTTATATCGTGCAGCACTACTTTCTAATCACGTCTACAGCACTTAAATTACCATTTGCATGCATTTGATTCTAATGAAAGAGGTTGTGATAATGTAACCAATAGCAGGGCATCATGCATGATTCAGCAAAACACGCCTCCTTATTGCTTTCATTTTGTGTACTACAGTATGCTGATGTTTGATTTTCCCAGTTGCTGCGAGGTGGAAAACCATCTCAAGGACACCTGCTAATCTTGTTTTTGCTTCTGCTTTAGTCTCGGGATCCGAGCACATGGAATAATTCCTTCATCATGATCGTTTCAGTGCTTATTTACAACATTACCGTGCAGAACCTTTGCTGTTCACAATCATTAGGTGCGGCGAAATGAGATTCCCGAATCATTAGACGAGCGGGGATTTTTTGTTGAAGGGGCAAGAACAATAGACTGCTTTTGTTAGCACTTCTGTCTGGGTGTAAGAAACCATCACAATTACGCGCACCGCAAACGGCTGTAATTATGGTGAGAGCATTCGTCTTTTTTTCCTCCCATTAAAAGCTTCTCCGCGTATCACACTTATAGTCCTCTGAACGGGGCTGTTTTTCATCCGGCTCGCCCTGTAAACACTATCTCATTTTGCTGATGGCTTTCCGCTGGTGACAAAACGGCGTCTGAAAAAAGACGGGGCCAAAAATGCCAGCTAGCAGTCTTGGGTTGTTTTATTGTTCTTTTCGCAGTTGCGGCGCACTGCTAATCGTATTTTAGCTGCAGCGAGTGTTCATTAGCATGCGGCTCCACGCCGGGCCTGGAATCAAAAGGCCTGACCGTGTCCTGGAGGTGGGCTAGCCGAACACGCGCTCGGCTTCTGTTGTAGTTTTGCAAGTGAATGGCTTGATGCTAATCTGCACGGGAAGATAAGAACACGGCTACAATTAAAAACACATTAAAAACAGAAAATAATCGCAAGCCCAAAACATTCCAGGCGAGTTCAATAATTACATCAAGCGGCGTATTCCCTGTTGGAGGAGCAATTTCTGATTAGACTTGAACGTAGTTTATGGTAATTTCATTATGTTTGAACATTGCGGGGGGAGGGGGGATCCGTGCGATAAGTAACTTTTAATGTTCTCGCTGGGTTTAAAATGGAAAAACAAAGAGTCTTTTCTTACAGTAACTCTCAAAGGTAATTTATAATGGGTTAGCGGAGCATATGTAGCATGGGAAGGACAAAAGGCGGGAAACGTGCATAAATTGACCAGCGCGCTTGTGTTCATAAAGCAGCCAATTTAAATGTAGTGTTCAGCTAATGAGGCTGCTCTCCCCTTTGAGTGCTTCCCTCCCCTAACTGACCTATTGTTGCCGGTGTTTGTTTGTTATCTTACTGTGCTAATGACATCTAATCTCAGTTGTAGGCCTTCTCCTTCTGGACTGTGTATGCTTTCATAACGCTGCCTTAAGCCGGTTTGATGGCTGCGTTCATTCATTCTCCCTGTACTTTTGTTTCCTTCAGAGACGACAGAGCATCTGCCGTTGCGGTTTCCCAGTTTTTTTGAACTCGCCATCTGAACCTTGACCTCCATCATAACCTTGGTAACCATTTCATCTTTTATTTCTCCCATCATTGATCCTTTGTTATGATTTTTTCCCTCTTATGTTTGCTTTAGTTGTTTGTTTATAAGTCTTGTTTTGTTTGTGTTCCTTCCCCAACCTTATTTAAAAATATTTTCCAGTTGTTCAAACATATTTGAGATTCTTTTAAACACAAAATAATATATATTTTAAAATGTTGATTGTTGGAACCCATTGACGTCCATAGTAATTTTGTTTAATTAATTTTGTTCAATCACATGAAGGAGAGAAAGTGATGAGGATATTTTCATTTTCTCTTTAAAGTTATACAATGAATTTTGTTCTTTTATTTAGTTTTTAAAAACTAAATAAAAAAAAAAATCCCTCAGACTTATTCTTATAAGCATTCACCTTTAATGTTTGATTAATGAACACAAGGTATTGGACAATCTTGATCAAATTGAACTCTTGAAATCAAATTGAAATCTTTAAAAAATGATTTTTTATTGGGTTTTGTCATTTGCATATGCAAATTCTGTCAAAAAATTCACAAGAAAGAGTTTTACAACACCAAAAAATAAAATAAAATTAAAAAAAATACTTTGAGAATGCTGGTTGCTGAAACCCTATAGAAGTTGATTGGTGCCAGCATTCTTCAAAATATCTTCTTTTGTGTTCAAAAGAAGAAATAAAGTCAATCCCATGAGGGAGAGTAAATGATGAGGAAGTTTTTTATTTTTTGGTGAAGTATATCTTTAAAGTTATACAATGATTTATACACTTATTTACTTTTTATAAACTGAATATAAAGTGTTTTTTCCACCTCAGACATATTCCTATTAATCTATTAATTATTGTTTGCATATGTAGACCAAGACCAGAGCAGGGTCGTATTGCTAACAAAGAGCCAGATAACAAATAAATAAATAAATTAATTAATTAACTAATTCTTTAAAAAGAATACATATTTTTGTAAACGGTTGTATGTCTGTTTTATTAGAAATTAAATTATAAGAAATCTATTAGATGTTTGCTCCATGATTTTTTTCTTTTAAGAAAATTGTTTTTTGTTTTATTTCAAATCAAATTATATAATAAATAAATAAATAAACTGTATTCCTGTTTTATTAGAAATAAAATAAATAAAATTAATAAATATGTTTGTGAACAGTTGTATGCCTGTTTTATTAGAAATCACATTTCATAAAAATCTATTAGATGTTTGTTCCATGAAAATATTTTCTTTTATGGGAGTTATTTTATTATTTGTTTTATTTGAAATCAAATTATATAAATAAATAAATGCATTTGAAAACAGTTGGATGCCTGTTTTATTAGAAATCAAATTAAATTTTTTACTTTTATTTATTTTAAAATAAATTTAAAGGAATTTTTCATTTGTAGGTTCTCTTTAAAGCTATACAATGATTTATATACTTTTATTTAGTTTTTATAAACTAAATAAAGTTCCCCCCTCCTCACACATATTCTTATTTTAACCATTTATCTTTATTTTTGATCAATAAACACAAGGTATTGGACAAGATCCACAATCTGTCACAAAATCTATATTTAAATGGGTTTTATCATTTGCCTATGAAAGTTTTGTCATTTACTCACCATTCAGTTGTTTAACCTCTTAAGGTGCAAGCTATTTGGGCTTATTGGAGCCTAATTAGAATAAAAGCTAAGTATCATCTTTTGATGTGATGTACTTTTAGAAAAAATGATGTCCATATATATGAATTCGAATTTACATAAAACACATTTTCCTGACTGTTTTTAATGCATTAATAACACATACATATTTTTGGATTGTGTTTTAAGGATATCAGAGAGTAAAAACTATTTTTTTGCCCATTTTGGACAGTTAAAATTAGTGTTCGGGACATTTCATATGCTGCAAAACAGTTGCAGGATGACACTTTTAGAAATAATGGTACAGGAGCTGTCCCTGGGGCAGTACCTTTTTAAAAGATACATATTTGTACCCAAATAGTCCACAATGGTACCTAAATGGTGCATATTTGTACCCAAATGTAACTAAAAAGTACCTCTGAGGTACCATTATGGACCCTTCAGGTACAAGTAAGAAAGGTACGGCCCCAGCGATATGCTTCTGTACCTTTATTTCTGAGAGTGTATGTCTGTAACAAAATATAAAACATTTAAAGTGTTTTAAATAGCCACTTAAGAGATAAAATGTGCTGTCCACGTATCTGGCCAATAAGAGGTTAAAACCTATTTGAGTTTCTTTCTTCTAATGAGCACATAAGAAGATACTTTCAGAAAATGCTGGTTGCTGGAACCCATTGACCACCATAGTCATTTTGTTACTATGGAACTCGATTGGTGCCAGCATTCTTCTAAATATCTTCTTTTGTGTTCAACAGAAGAAATAAGCTCAAAACTCTTATGAGGGAGAGTAAATGATGAGGAAATGTTCATTTTTCAGTGAAATATCCCTTTAAACTTATACAATGAATTATATACTTTTTAGTTTTTATACATTTTTCCCCTCAGAAATATTATTATTATAAACATTGGCATTTCTGATTAATTAATTAACATTTTTGATTGATTAATACAGGGTATTGGATGATCAAGATCAAATTGAACTCTCTTATTCTGTTTTCTTCCAGAATCTGTCACAATATCTATATTTAATTGGGTTTTATCATTTGCATATGTAGACCAGAGCAGCTAAACAAACAACCAGCATCCCACTAGCATGAAGCAGACGGATAAACACACACAGGTGTGACAGCTGACCTTAATAAGCCCTCTTGGAGTCTGACCTCCACATCCAGGCCTGTCCTGTGAACACAACTGAGATGGTGCTCCCGACAGCTGTTTTTATATCGGCTCTGAGCTCTGCAATCACGTACATGTGGCTAGCTCGACAGGTGCGCTATGATGTGAACAGGATTCAAGGGCGGCTCATTGGTACGACAGCAAGCGTGTGCTCTTTTGTAAGGGTTCAGGTAGCCAGGGAGGGTTCACCACAGTCGTTTTTGGCAAAGCAACAACATTTTGTCACCATGCATTATTTTAGGAAAATGAAGTGTTAGTACAGTGCAGCCCAGGCCATGTTCCTCTGCTGACTTTATTAATCCAAGAACATCTGTGTTAAAAACCCCACTGATGTCATTCACCATCGTGTTTAATTAAGAGCGGTTAATTGCAGAACTTAAATCAGTGGAGTCCTAAATTATGCTTTCCGACATTGCTGATTATTGCTAATTATGTTTTGAACACAGTTTATCAGATTTGCTGGTTCTGAATGGACATAGTTTCATAGTCAAATAGCAAGCATGTGGATTTTTAGTACTAGGTTTCTTTAATATTTATGTTAAGAAGCATGGGACGACAACCAGTTTCAAGCTTTACTGTGTTTTGGAAAAGTCAAGGTTTTAAAACCACAACAAAATTCTGTTATATTGTTCCTAAGGTATATGTCAAGTTTTTTTTTTTTTTTGTGTGTTTTTTATTCTGTTTTAAATAAATTTTGTATTTAAAACTACGGAACCTAGCAGAAGTCAATGATTTATTTTAATTAATTAGCCTGATATGTTTACTGCTCCAAAATATTATACATGAGAAATGTAAATTGAAAAATTGTCAAATGAAATACTGTATATTGTGTTCTATGTATATTGTGTTCTAAAAATTTGTTTTTTATTTAAAAATTTAAAAAGAACCTAATTTAGAGCAGTAATTAATGACAATACTGTATGTACTGCGTATTCTATATTGGGTATACTGTGATATTTTTATTGAATGTTATCATACCATCCAAACTTATACATGCCTAGTTTAGATTTCATCTTTCATCACAAGATCAAAAGACAATTTTAGCTATAATTTAATTTAAAGATGTTATTACATAGTATGGCATGTAATATGTGTTATTAAATAAATAAATTATATATATATATATATACACAGTTGAAGTCAAAATTATTAGCCCCCCTGAATTATTAGACCGCTTGTTTATTTTTTCCCTAATTTCTGTTTAACGAAGTGAAGATTTTTCCAGTACTTTCTAGACTTAATAGTTTTAATAACTCATTTCTAATAACTGATTTATTTTATCTTTGCCATGATGACAGTAAATAATTTTTGACTAGGTATTTTTTAAGACACTTCAATACAGCATAAAGTGACATTTAAAGGCTTAACTTGGTAAATTAGGTGAACTAGGCAGGTTAGGGTAATTAGACAAGTTATTGTATAACAGTGGTTTGATCTGTAGATTATCGAGAAAAAATATAGCTTAAAGGGGCTGAAAATTTTGTCCCTAAAATGGTGTTTAAATAATTTAAAACTGCTTTTATTCTTGCCAAAATAAAACAAATAAGACTTTTTTCAAAAGAAAATATATTATCAGACATACTGTGAGCATTCCCTTGCTCTGTTACACATCATTTGGGAAATATTTAAAAAAGAAGAAAAAAATTAGAAGGGGGCTAATAATTCTGACTTCAACTGTATATATATATATATATATATATATATATATATATATATATATATATAT